CCCCCCCCCCCCCCCGGCCGCGAGGGGCTCCTCTCCCCCCGGCCAGGGCCAAGCACCAAACACTTGCACCAGATGGGGGTTTCGCGGGAACGGCTGGGGTGCATTCGTCGGCCACACCGACCGCGCCGATGCACGTCGTTGCCATCACGCTCCACCTCCCCGCCCCCCCCCCTCTCTGGGAATACCCCTCAGCGATGAAGGGCCGCCTGCATGGCGCACTTTTGCCGGAAGGAGGCGGCCACCGGCCGCACATGGGGATTGGCATCCCAGGCCATCTGGAGGAGATCCACCTGCGGGGTGTTCGATTCGGTCCGGAGGGCGCCCAGGTCCGGCCGGTGCCCGAACAACACATCGGCGGTGATCTCTTCAAAGGTTTTCCCTGTCACGCGAGGGGGTCAGTCTTGTGCCAGGGCGAGGGCGCCCACCCTGCTCGGCCATCCCCCGCCGGCAGGGAGCCCGACGAGAGAGAGAGAGAGAGGCCGAAATGCGAACACAGCGGGGGAGATGCGGAGGAAAGAAGGAAAGCCCCCACACGCACCGGCCCAGGGAGTTGTCCGAGTGAGGCACTCCCAAAGCATGATGGCCGCGCTGAAGATGTCCGCCGGCAGGAGGAGCTCCATTTCCAGGCCTCGGCGCCGCTGGACGGCGGTCAAAACCTCCGGCGCCGCGTACCGAGCCGTGAGGGCATTCAGCGCAGGGGCATCGGTGACCAGGGCCGAGGACCGGTCGGTATTGAGATTCCGACTGGCGCCCAGATCGCCGAGGGCCGCATGCCACCGGCCGCCGGGGCGCTGGCTGACAAGCACATTGCCCGGCTTCAGATCTCGATGGGCCACGCCCTGCGTATGCATCGCCTCCAGGCCGGTGGCTGGTGAAGGAAAGGAAAAAAAAAAGAAGAAGAAAGACCCATCAGTCCCCGGCTTGGACCGATGAGCAGCCAAGCGAAGATCCATAAACGCCCCCCGCCCACCCCTGGCCCGTCGGACTGCCGCCACGGCCACGACCCGGAGGAGCCCCACGCCCAAGCGCACCCCATTGTTGAATGATATCCAGGAGGACGGCATCCTCGATGACCGCCTCCGAGTGAAGCAGCAGCCCGAGATCCGTGTCGAAGCGATCCATGATGATGGCCGGCGGGGTCTCGCTGTAGCCATACAGCCGGACGATGTTCCCATGGTCCCGGAGCAGCCACATCAGCGCCACCTCATTCTGGAAGAGCAGCCCCTGCGACGCCGTCAGTCGGTCGGTTTTCAGCTGCTTGATGGCAACCACCGCCGGACAGCCCAGCCGGTCGGAGGTCCCGGCACCGACAGCGCGCGCGGCAAACACACGCGCTTGGGTCCCGGCGCCGAGGCCATCCCCGGCCAGGGGCGCAAAATTCTGGCCAATGTCCACCAGAATGCTCCCGGGCAGCGACAACTCCACCATCGTATTGAGTACCGTGGCATCTGCCCATACAGCCGGTTAGTCATTCCCCACCGGCGCAGCCCCGGGGCGGCTTCCAGCGACAAGCGCTCTCCCACGTACTTTCATCATCCCCAGCAGGGGGCTACAGTGCCATATGCACATGGAGGAAGTGGTCAGACACGGCCATTCGCCGGACGTGGAATACACATGAAGCCATGACGCGGCCGAGGGGCACACCTTGTTGAGGGCGCTGCGTTGCTGGCGAACGCGCCACAGGAGGAAGAGCACCACCAAAAGCAGCAGCAGGACAAGCAACACACCGAGGCCGATGCCCAAGCCGAGAGCTAGCCCCAGCACCGCGAAGTCAGTCACCGGGAACCGTGCGCACCATGCACATGCGCACAGCACAGGGATGTGGCAGGGGAGGAAGGGGCACAGGTGGCGGAGGAGGGGGAGGACGTGAGTGGCTGGCGGGGGGCAAAAAGGAAAAACCCCAAGAGGAGGGCACAGTGCGCACCGAGACGACGGGATCCCGGGGACCGGTCCGTGCAGTCTTCCGCCTCGGGGCCCACGCAACTGGAGCACTTCCTGTGACACGGCGAGCAAGTCGGCGGGACCTCGGCGACGTCGGCGAAAAAGCCCTCCGGACACACGCTCACACATGCCGAGCCCTGCAGAAGCAGCAGCCCCGTGGCACAGAGGTCGCACGATGCCATCGCCGGACAGCCGAGGCCGCCGGTCGCATCGAACACACACTCCGGCACAGGCGACCGGGGCCGGCAGCGATCGCATCCATCCGGACAGGGCAGGCATGCGCGCTTCGGGGCCGGCGGCAGCGCATTCGGGAATTCCACCTCCGCCACGGGCCTTTCCGGACACGCACTCAGACACACGCCGGCCTCGTAGTCGAGCCACGCCTCGTCCGAGGGGCAGCTCGTGCAGAATTGCTCCCTCTCGAAGCAGCTCCGACAGCTGGCATGGCACCGGGCGCAAGAGAATGCCCCGGCCAAGGCATATTCCCCGGGTGGACAGCCAGGCAGGCACTCGCCCGTGGCAAAGGACAGGAAGAGGCCCCCCTGGCAGGCCGAGCAGGCGGCCGCGCATCCCACCGGGCTCTCCTCGGCCACGGTGCATGCCGTGCACCCGGCCGGGCAGGCCTCGCACCGCCCGGCCAGCAGGCATTCGAACATGCCCACCGGGCAAGACCCCACGCACCGGCCCTCATGGAGCATCAGCCCCGGCGGGCACGCCGAGCACTTGGCCGGGCCGGGCCCGGAGCACTCGAGGCATGTGCCGTCGCACGCCCGGCACACCTGGCCCCCGAGCTCGGCATCGGCCGCATACTGTCCCGGGGGGCAGCTTTCGACGCAGGTGCCAGCAAGCAGCACCCATGATGCCCGGCAAACAGAGCACTGTCCGGTAGCCGGGTCCGTGCATGCCGAGCAGCCCACCGGGCAGGGGACGCACGAGCCGCCCTCCTCGGTCGTCCCCTCCGGGCACGAAGACAAACAGGCACCCTCCAGAAGCAGGGGAGCCCCCGACCGACAGGAGAGGCAGTGGTTGGCAGCAGGCCCGTAGCAGGAAAGGCACGACCCATGGCATGTGGAACACAAGCCGCCCTGGACCGATGTGCCAAGTGGGCAGGAATT